GACTTAACATCACGCAAAAACAATTACGAATTAAATGTTCCGTGGAAATCACTGTAGATATTTTTTTTTATGTATATAATTATATGCTCTTTAATTCAAATAAAAAGGTTACACAAATAACACGTTATCTATTAACTTAATTTTCAGTGATCATAAAATCACTAAAATCAAGTCTTGTATGTTTTGTTCTTCTAAAAATTTTATTTTTAGTCTATTTTAACTTAAAATATCTAGAAAATACTTCAAATACATTAATAAAATTATTTATAGACTCAAACATCTCAAAATTAACCTAAAAAAGTTAGCTCAGATTTATCATTTTAAATAAAGTGAAGAGTAAAAAAAAAACCTAGACTAAACTCCTCCTGAAATAAAAGTTATTGCTAAAATCAAGGTCAGTTAAGACTTTATTTCTCTATCATTAAAATATAACCCTTTGTTTTTCACAAAGTAAACATTAAAAATAAAATAAAATTTTAGATCTAAATTATTTTTTTAAAATATTGAAGGACCAAAAATTTATAATTTGAAAAGCGAACCAAAATAATTTCTTTGACCCAATTTCAAAACTACCATATTTTCTCTTCTCTCTTTTTTTTTTTTTTTGTCAATTTTGCAATCTTTGCTCAACAAATTTGAAGCAATTAAGCTTAAATTTAGCCTTAAAAAAATACAATCCGCCAGAAACCCATATGATGACTAAAATAAATTAATAAAAGTTACCTCGGTATGTCCACAGTTCTTCTCACGACATATAAAGTTTTGTATAATACCCCAGTTTTGGATAATGAGAGCATAAGTAATTCAATCCGTGCATTTTATGGAAAAAAACTTACAACAAAACAAGTTTTTTTTTTAAAAAAAAAATTATTGTTTTATTGGTTATTTCAATTTGTATAGTTTTATAAATAATTTTTTTTTATTAAAATTAGAAATTAATAAAAATAAATTAAGTGATTTTTTGGGATGCTCATGGTTAAAGTTATAAAATAGAAGAAAAAATATAGAAAAGATATAAATATACTTTGTTAAATAAACAAAGCTAAAAATATAAAATAAATATGTTTTTAAAATAATTATAAGTGAATTTCTATATTTTTTAAAAAAAAACATGAGCATAGTGTAGTCGCCAAACCTAAAAACTTGGGCATGCTATATCTAGATATCTTGGGCTCAACATGCCTTGCTTGTCTTGAATCTCGCTTGGTTGCCAAACCAAAATGTCTTGGATCTGGTATATCCACTAAACTCAAGTATTTCGAGTTTGACATGATTGCTAGACCTAAAATACTACGTTTTGGTTTGGTATAATCGCTAGATTCAAGATATTTAGGTCTGACATGTCAACAAGATAAATTCAAGATGCTTAGGTTTAATAAGAAGTTAAGTGGATGTTTATTGATCCGCTATGAAGCACAAATCAATATACTAGTTTTTTTAAAAATAATGTTAAATTAATACATGGAGATAAATGTAGAAAAACCTAAGGAAAAAAGAACTCTATTTTGATAACATTGAATTAAAATACTAATAAAAAAAAACCCAGAGAAATACCGAAGTAGTCTTGCTTGATTCATCCACGAAGTGCTAATAAAAAGAAAATAAAGAAATATTGAACTATGTTTATTGATTTGTCATGCATTAAATTTTGAATCATGAAGCTCACCTTCTCTCTTATCTCACGCTTTCTCCATGAAACACAAATCTGGAAGAAACACCCAAAAACAAATTCATGGTTTAAGACAAAACCAAACATAAATTTAGCCGTTTTATCATCTTCTCTTTTCATGGTTTGGTGTTGGCATTGATTTCTCGAAACATGACAACAAAATGTATGTTTTCATTCCTTTCTTGAATTGAGATTTCAAAACTTATGGGTGGTGCGTTTAGTTATTGTTAAATCATTAGGATATATGTTTTATTTCCTTGATTTAACTAAAAAAATTAACAATGGGAATCTTGAAGGTACAATATCTCTAAGCAATTATATTTTTTATGTTCAACTTATAAATTTTAAATCCCCAGGCATGTTTTGGAGGTTGGGAAATCTTTTATTTGAGTTTTTACGAAAAAACCCATAATTAAAAAATTTGGATTAATGTTTACAAAACTTTAATTTTTTAATTACTGTTCAATTCATTTATAGTTACCATTCAATTAGTGTGTCATTCTAAACAATGTAATAGGAGACTCATGCTTGATGCAGTCTATGAATTTAACTATTACTGCAAGTGAATATTTAAGCAATGCAAGTTTATTATTATAGTAAATTTATATGAAAGATTAATGGTAGCTATTTATAGAAAATTTAAAGTCTCACTTTATTCTTAAATTATAAAGCGTGATGAACTTTGAGATGATAGAGAGTGAGACTTATTCTTGAATATTTTTGGAAGCTGATGGTGTGAGAGTAGTATTCTCACACATGTTGTCATATTGACTCATTATTGCTTGCTTTCTCCTTTGCTCCGGATCGCCACTCTTTATAGTTTCAAATTAAAGGAACATGACCAAATTGGTAGTATTCTTAGACTTGGTTAATGACACGGATCAACCTTGGTTACTTGATATATTTAACCCAAATACATGTAATATTTCTAAAATATCCATCTCTCATGGTTTTAAAAATATAGCTATTTGAATCTTTAAAGATATAGTTTAATTACTCAGGTTCTAGAGTTATCTTTTAAAAATTATTAATTTAAATTTTATAAATTTTATAGTTAGAATTAATTAAGATATACATAAATTATCTCATATATATATATATATATATATATATATAATGTCTTCATATTCAAATTTTTTTCACGAAAGGTATTTTAGCAATTGAGAAAGTTACAATGAAAACATGTATATCCATTCACTAAATTTAAAGTGCATCAAATATATGTGTCAATTTAATATACTTTAAATTCTAACAATTTTTCTATACATACTTTTTTTTTTTTTCTATACATACTTGAAATGTCGAGTGTTGAGTCAAGATAAGTTTAAGATCTCAAAAGGTTAAGGTAGGTATTCTACAGTCAAGTTCAAGACCCTTAGTTTTGAGTCCTGGGACATTAATAAAAGGTGAGGCCAAGACCATGTATGATAACGCAAGGGGCCATCGTGTTTAAGTCTGAAATTCAAGACTGAATCTGATCCATGATGCTTAAAGGTCAGGTTTGAGGTTGTCAAGGGTTGGGATGATGTTGGGTTTAGGACACCTAATTTGAGATCTAAGGCGTGGTCCGAATAGAGACGAGGTTCAAGATGCCCCGGCATAAGATTGGTGCACTAGAGGATTGAGCCAGGACTAGGTAAGGAATAAGACCTTATTAGCTACGTGGCCAGCACTTCGTCACGGAGTAAATAATTTTTTTTATAATACAAAAAAAAAATATGCAAGTATTTACATTATGTGTTAAGACACCCAAAAAAAAAATGCAAATAAAAAATTATATGCATAAATTTAATAAATAAATCAAGAATTATTTATAATAATAAATGTAAAAAAAAATCATAAACAATAATAACTAAAGATTTAATTAAAAAATTAAAAAGATAGATATTTGTCAAGATAAATAATATCATAACATAGGGGTAATATCATAACATAGGGGTAATGGACTCAATTGTGATTAATAACTTTGTTTTTTAAAATTAATTTTTTATTTAATCATTTAATAAATAAAAAACACACATAAAAAATTGGTTGAATTAATTTCTTTTTTCAAACATACGAAAAGTATCAAGGCATCATCAATGTGTTTTTCAAGATAAAAAATTAGCATATTATAAATTCAAAATCTGATGAAATTGAATATAATTGGACAAAATTAAAATTAAAAATACTCAATTTGAAAAAAAAAACAATATTAAAATGATTCAAATTAACATGTGAAACCCAAGTTTTAAGTCATGCATCCCACTAGGTCTAATAACTCTTTATTTTTCATTTAATTACATTGCAACAAGGTACATTACACTCTTTTTTTATATCAAAAAAGTATTTTATTTTTTTGAAAAAGGTGCCGTATGAAACTAAACTAAAAGTCAACCTATTTTTTTTAAAATTCAATAACAAAATGAGATTTTTTTAATAAAATAAAAAATTTAAAGAACAAAGGATGGAAACAAGTTAATAAAAAAATATAAATATATATAAAGAACAAATAAGTCAAACGCTTGATAAACCCATTAAAAAACCTGACTCGTAGAATAGGCTTAGCCCACCCACCATGCCCTTTTATTTTAATTTTTTTACATATATATATATATATATATATATATTTTTTTTTGCAATATTAGGGTTGCCCACCCTCCCTAATAGTTTGTTTATAATTGCCTGCTATTTAAGTCAAATAAAAAAAAAACACAAATAAAAAATTCTCTTAATTTAATTTTCAGTGACCACAAGATCATTGAAAAATCAAATTTTATATTTTTTCTTTAAAAACTTTATTTTTAATCTAAAATACATAGAAAATACTTCAGATATGTTAATAATTTTATTTATAACATTGAACAACCAATACCAACATGAAATAAAAAAAATTCTTGAGCTAACATCTACCAAAAAATACATAAGCTAAGCTTCTCATCAGACAAAACTTATTAATATTAAAATTAATATTTTTCATGAACAAAATCGAGATCAAATAAGATTTTATTTCTCTGCCACCAAAATATAACCACTTTGCCACCAAAATATAACCATTTTCTCTTTCTTCTCTCAAAATATATACTAAAAATAAAAAAATAAAATCTTAGATTAAAATTAAATTTTAGAAATATTGGAGGACCAAAAGTTTATAATTTAAAAAGTGAACCAAAATAATTTTTCCACCCAATTTCAAAATTGCCATATTTCCAACTTTTTTTTTAACTTTAGTCCTCTTTCTTCAATCTTGCCCTTGCTCAACAAATTTGAAGCAATTGAACTTGAATTTAGCCTTACAAAAAATGCAATCAGCCAAAAAAATATCTGCACTTGCCAAGCATTTTTCAAGCAAGTTATGTCACCAATTTGTACCATCTCCATCACGAGACTGGTAAAAATCATCAGGCCGCACAATGTTGACATCCTCAAACTCATTGTCATCTGGAATCATGAAAGAAAAAGAATATCAAACCACTTCAAGTTCTTTTAAATTTCATTACTGTAATTCCTAATCGAAATAAGTTTCACACGCGCACGGCCAAAAAATGCAAGTCATGGATAGAGTGTGATGAAACTACTTCATGCTAATCACAAGCCTAATACCTGTTTCACTTTTACCTTGTTATTCTATCATAAAAAAAGGCAAGAAAACAGAGGTTGCCAGTATCCATCTCAGAGCTATTGTCTTAAAAGTCAAAGCTGATTTACAACAACTTCCAACTATTTTAGTGAGACCTTGTTGCAGATCATTGGCTAAATTTGCATACTGGAGTTGGTCCATGAACATTAGTTAAAAGCCCATTTCATAAAAAAAAGGTCATGTATGCTATGGCTGAACCCTCTCCAATAATAGAAAAGGATGCAATGACACTAAAAAGCAGTTGGATTAACTGCTTTGCTTTGTGTAAGAAAGGAAGATGTCCAAGTTCTTATCTAAATTAAGTATCCAACTAAATTAAGAAAATCAAGGGATAAGGGGGCAACCTTTTCTCAAGGTTAGTGCCACAACAGCATCATTTTCCACCTGAACAAGGCAAATGTGAAGTTATTCAAGATCTCAAAAAAAAAAAAAAAACTCAACAGAATAGCAGACAGTCAAATAACACCAGAATATGACATTTTGAAGTAATCTAGATCTTAAGAGTCTTGCCTCCCATAAATATAGCATCATAACAGTCAAAAGGAATGTAATTACTACCTTCTGCTCTGCCAGTGACTTTGAATCCTCCAACACTTCCCCTGTTCCCACTAAGATCAACCGCTGATCATTAACTGGTTGATCAATAAGGACATTTAATTTCTGCTTAATCTCCAGAGTTTTCTCAGTTGGATCACACTGGATAAAGTAAGTTGTCTTGTTACGCTTAACCCGGATGTACATAGCCTGTACAAAAATTTAAGTAAAAAACAATCATGAGAGTAGAGGGACCAGATGAAAATAGTTTTAACGACTAGAATAAATATGCAACACATTTGATGGAACAATAGTTTATTCTAACTATTTTTCTGGGCCAGTCTATAGAACTTCTGCATGGCAATAGTAAAGCTTCCATAAAGTGTGAAGCCTCACTAGAATTATTGAACACTATGCAACAAATACATCAAAAGCACAACATAATGGTAGAAATATTATTCTCATACAAGGATATTATAGGCACTGAAATAGTATAAAGCTCACTATTTCAATCGCTCAACATGTAGGACCTTTTCCAGCCACACAGCTCAAATTTTAATCTAAAACTCTAGATTATGCCCACAAGCTCATCAAGTAGTTGGCTGTTGTCACTACTGATCTCAAAGCAGTAGCAAGTCTTTTAGTTTCATGTAGTGAGAAAGATGAAATCTCCATCTGTAAACATGTAATAATGAATTGCCAGGGGGTGGGGGTTTCGGCAACGCATCTCTAGTCATTAGTCACTCTAAAAGTAAGAAAAATCAAAACCTCCAATTCTGGTTTTAAGTGAAATAGGGCTCCATTCAAAATAACTATTCTTTCTTTGTAATGATTGCCCGACAACATGCCAACTCACACAACATTAATAAAAGGAGGTGATCTTCTACAGCACTTCATGATTCACTCAATGTGATTCATTCAATGTAATAGCTGCAAGGAATATGGACATATTGCTACCCATTGTGTGCAGAAGTATTGTAATCACTGCAAAAAACCAGGACATATTATCAGATACTGGACATATTATCAGAGACTGTCATATCCGTTCTCATAATCGCCGAACTAATGCCTATCAGGCTACAGTTGGTTCTTCATCTTTAACTACTATCAGGCTACAATTGGTTCTTCATCTTTAACTGGTGATGATTCATCTGTCCTTACTCCTGAGATGGTTGAGTAGATGATTATTTTTTCTTTTTTAACCTTGGGACTTCAAGGTAAAATCTTGGTTTGTTGATTTTGGTGCATATAATTATATAACTAGTTATGCTAACACTCTACACAATATTCAACCATGTACGGGATCATTACAAATTACAATTGCTAATGGTAGTCAGTTACCTATTCATAATGTAAGAGATGTTAATTTTTCTGCTAGAGATGTATTTGTATCTCCCGAACTTTCCACCAGTTTTATATTAGTAAACCAGTTGGTTGATGACAACTGTGATGTTTTGTTTTTTGTAATAGTTGTCTTGTGCATGATCAGGTGTAGAGAAAAGTACTCATGAGGGGGTTTAAAGTTGGACAATTGTTTTTTTCTGCACCTTTCCATTCTTCCAGTTATTTCTATGGCTTGTACTATTGTAAACCATAAAAGTGAAATATGATACAAATATTTAGGTCATCCTAACCCGGTTGTCTTATCTCATTTAATAAACTCCAATTTGTTAGGCAATAAAGATCAATTTTCATCCTATATATCTCTTGATTGTTCCACATGCAAATTAGGAAAGAGTAAGTCTCTTTCCTTTCCTTCTCGTAATACTTATGGTGAAAAATGTTTTGATTTGGTTTATAATGACATGCGAGGCATTTCTCCAATTATATCTCATGCACATTAGAAATATTTTGTTACATTCATCGACGATTACAACCAATATACCAGGATTTATTTTTTTTGTTCTAAATTTGAGGTATTTTATCTGTCAACAATAAGTTACATATGTTGAAACTCAATTTTCTTCAGGTATTAAAGTGTTAATGTTTGATTCAAGTGGAGAATATGTTGAAACTCAATTTTCTTCAGGTATTAAAGTGTTAATGTTTAATTCAAGTGGGGAATATATGTCTCATGAATTTCATGAGTTTGTTAACCAAAAAAGCATGGTCTCCCATCATTTTTGTCTATATCCACCTCAACAAAATGGTGTTGTTGAATGTAAGATTCATCATCTACTAGATATTGCTCATACATTATTGCTTGAATCTTCTGTTCCATTTAAATTTTAGGTTAAAGCTATGTCCAGGGCAATCCATCTAAATAATAGATTACCCTCTAGTGTTATGAAATTTGACACTCATTATTGTCTTTATCTACATCCTCGCTATCTTGACATGCATACCTTTAGTTGTGTTTGTTTTGTTCATTTACATTCTCATGAATGCAACAAATTGTCTGCTTAATCAGTTAAATGCGCTTTTATGGGTTATAGTATTTCTCACAAATGTTTTGTTTGCTATGATCCATTCTCTAATAGATTTTGTATATCTCGTCATGTTGTTTTCTTTGAAAACAAAAATTTTTTCCCACTCATGTTACATCTGTTCTTGAGATACTTATTCTTTCATGCTTTGATGACTTGTCTTCTACTCCTGAAAGATTCAAGCCTAGATTTGTGTATGAACAACAATGCCCAACTTTACCTCTTCTTAATCCCATCTAAGCCTATTTAGACGATGCCTTTCGTGATTGAGTTGGATTCTGACCCAATTCCTTACCATTCTACTTGAATCTCTTGTCCTCGTGATTGGAATGGATTTTCTCCTACATCATTTCATGCTACTTTGTCATCTATTCCAATTCCTACATGTTATTTCAAGGCAGTTAAGCATGAATTTTAGTGGGATGCCACGGTAGACAAGCTTCTTCCTCTTAAAGATAATCATACCTAGAATGTTGTTCCTTGCCCAACAACTATTAAAGTTATTGGTTGTAAGAGAGTTTACTCAATCAAACTTCATTTTAATAGGACTTAGAGTTTACTCAATCAAACTTCATTTTAATGGGACTTTAGATCGATATAAAGCACGTTTGGTTGCTCCTGGTAACAGACAAGAATACAAGGTGGACTATGAGAAAGGTTTTGCTCATCGATATAAAGCATGGTTGGTTGCTCTTGGTAACAAACAAGAATACAAGGTGGACTATGAGAAGGGTTTTGCTTTGGTCGCTAAAATGACTACAATACGGATTGTTATTTCTATCACTGCTTCACAAGGTTGGTTGCTTTATCAAATAGATGTCAAAAACACATTTCTCCATGGTGATCTTAAGGAGAAAGTTTGCATGACACCACCTCCCAATGTCATCACCAATTCTTCCTCAAATGTCTGTAAGTTGAAAGGCTCTTTATATGGACCGAAACAAACTAGTTTGATAAATTTCAAGCCATCTTGCTTCAATTTTATTTTCAGTAAAGCATGACTACTCCTCCTTCAATTTTATTTTCAGTAAAGCATGACTCCTCCTTGTTTCTTTACAAGACATTTACGGGTATTATTTTTCTCCTTGTCTATGTTGATGATATTGTTATTACTAGGATAGATTCCGTCTTGATTACTCGTCTCCAACAACATCTTCAGGCCTTGTTTCATATAAAGGATCTTGGTTCGCTTACATACTTCTTGGGGATGGAGGTTTATGTTGATCCCTCTGGTATATTACTAAATCAACATAAATATACACAGGATTTGATTACTTTAGCAGGTCTTCAAGAAACCTCTTATATGGATATTCCTTTAGAGGTTAATGTGAAATATTGTCGCGAGGAAGGCAACCTCCTTCCTAATCCTACCGAGTTTTGTCAAGTAGTTAGGAGCCTAAATTATTTGACGATCACACGACCTAATATCTCTTTTGCGATTTAGCAGGTTAGCAAGTTTATGCAATCTCAATGTCATCTACATTTAGCTGTTGTTCGTCGTATCATTCGATATCTCAGAGGTTCACATAGTCGTGGGTTGTTCTTTCCTACCAATACTCTTCTTTGCCTTATTGTATTGTGATGTTGATTGGGCTGAATGTCCCAATACTCGTTGCTCTATTAGTGGATGGTGCATGTTTATTGGAGATCATTGATCTCCTGGAAGAGTAAGAAGCTGGCACAACAATCCCAATGCTGATTTCTACTTATAAAACAAGTACAAACTCGCGGCGGAGAAGGCCTCCGTCGTCTAAGTCAGGCTGGCATCTCTCTCTCTTTCCTCACTACAGAAAGTTAAAGGTC